ATGTCAATCAGTTTATCACTGACTTCGTCACTTCAGAAGTCTCAGTGTGTTAAAAAAGCAATTTCCTTAAGGTTATCATAGCCATAGTGTTTGAACAAGAAATGTGATTATTTGTCTTGAATAATTCCTTTGATGATAATCCTGGTGGCAACTGGCCTGCAAACTATGGGTTGAGAATTCAAAGAAATTTGGTGTTCATTTTTCTCCGTAGGTCATTGAAGTAAGCTAACTATGGACTAATCCTTCGTTATCCTCTTTAAAGAAAACGACAATGGCCCACCGGCATAAACTGATTTCTGTACATAATAGTACCCGGGGCAGGTGGTACTGTGACTTTTGTAAAAGATATAGTGAAAACCTAAATGAAGAGTTTTCTTATCGTTGCCATAGCTGCAACTTTGACTTATGTCTTCACTGCATTCACCCACGCCAACATCCTAGCCATGAACATCAACTTCAAGTGATAGATGTCTCCTCTACTTGCAACAGCTGGTCTTGTGACATCTGCAAATATGACAAAACCGAAGAAAAGTAAGTTTGCGGTCAGTTGTATATGTACTCGCTCACGACAAGTTATTTGCATGGGTATTCAAAGTTATAACCCATCCACTAATCTTCGCGCGATTGTATTGGCTAATGTTTGTCGAGTGGTGCAAAATCACTGGACAGTTATCACAAAATAACCCTTGTTTCTGAAGATACTTGTCCTCCGATTATTTCCGTCGAAAAGAACAAAGCCAGCACAAAAAAGCCAGTTCAAGAGTTTTGCTTTTTCATCTTTATTACTTTACATGGAAGAAAAGTGATACAGAGGCCAGTGGTAATGACATAAAATAGCTGATCTCAAATGCTGTTGCGGAAAGTAAACAAAAGTCAACAAAATTTCCATTCAACGGACCGAGATATGAGATTTAATGGGAGGGTAATAATTAGTACCTCTTCTGGCTTGCTGGTATGTCGGCTGATAATGTACCTTGGCAGAGAGACTGTCCGAAAAATGAATATTTGGTCGAAAGCGAAACGTAGAGGGCAGCCGCGGAGATTATCAGCCGACATACCAGCCGCTTGAAGGGGTTGATTTACCAAGTACTGCTAACTAAATCCAATGATTACGCTAACCTTGAAATAGTGTTTAGGTAATGTTCTGAATTCCTTCTTTGACTGAACTAAAAATCTTCAAGAGTTGAATTTAAATAAAAATAAAAAATAAAAAATTAAAAAAAAAAACAGTAGGTAAAATTTGAACATCGGAAACTTAGATCAACTGTGAAATTGACCTGGAAGTCTTTGCATATGGGATAAATATGATGCTACTAGTTAAAAGGAACGGGAGAGGAGTTTAAAAATTGTGAATTGAAGAAAAATCGCAGGGTTGGGTCTTTACATTTTCCTGGTTTTGCTTCAGGTGTTTCGAAAGGATAAACTTCGTTCACGTTGAAGGTTTGGTTGATTCTCACTTTACAGGCTATCCCGTCGTTGTGGAGAGTGCAATTTTGATATTTGCCGTGACTGTTTCAAGCATTACCTCACCAGCCTGCACGAGCATGCATTGTTCAGAGCATGCGCACTGGATGTCTACCCAAAGTCCAGAGGTTGCTGGGGATGTGATAACTGCCGATCTTTGTTTAGGAACCCAAATGAAAACTGGCCGTGGCATTGCCACAAATGTGAATACAATCTCTGTGACCAATGCATTGGTGCCAATCCCGGGAAAAAAACAGGTGATAAGCGAGACCTTGTGAAACCCCGTTAGTAGAAATGTCATTTAATTTCTAATCTTCTCCTTAGACGACAAATGTCCAAACTGCTCTTTAGGTTCAGTGCATAGTGAGATATAGAAAAATTAAGGTCGTTATGTGATCATCTGTTGTGGGACTAAAGTGCTAAACTTCTGCTGTGTGACAGGAGTTAAGCGCCTTGACAAGCACTGTACTTCATTTGTTGTCCCGATTTTATCTTCCTACTCATTCCTTTATAGAAAGGAGATCTGGTAATCCATCGGTTAACGGGCTGTAATGACATTGAATATTAGCCATTTTAAGAAACAGCAATGCAAAGGATAAAAATAAAGGAGAAAATCACACGCGAGTAGAAGGAAAATGCAGAAAAAACGATACACAAATAACTGACAAACAGGGGAAAAAGTCTAAAGGATTCCACAACGATGCTTCGATCTTCGAAAATCCTTCTTTCCTTTTTTCAGTTAATCAAATTAAATAAACTATTTTCATTTATTTTTCATCAGATGCTGTGGACAATGTAAAGGAATTTGTCGCTCCACATTTTTGTGCTGGCCTCACGTCGCTAGAAAATTTCGTCCTGATTCTGGATTCAGCACCACTTGCACGCGATATTAGTGTACCCGCTGCCCAGCGTATGATGCCTGTTCTTCTTGAGCTTGTAAATTGTGCTCATGAAGCCTTTTGTTTGGCTGATTCTGCGATAAACAAAATTAATAGTGAGCTGGAAAATGACTTACTGAGGGTTGTGGTACAGGAGAAATCTACAGGCGATCGTCTCGATCAAACAAAACAAAGTTTAGCCAAATTACAGGAAAACGTAAAAGTATTACAGCAGGAGTATAATGAAGTGAAGCAGCAACTTTCCCACGAAGAGTCCAAATTGAAATCAGCTCGAGAGTCTAAAAAAGAATGGGAAAGAAAACTAAAAAAGGCTGAAAAAGAACGCAAAGATGCAAAGATCAAAGGTGCTGTTATTGGAGGAGTCCTTCTCGGACCTTTTGGAGCCGTGGCTGGTCTCGCCATAGCTGATGCTGTTGAAAGCTTCAATGTTTCCAATGCTGAACAAGCTGTTAATGAAGCGTCATCTCGCGTAACTGACATTACAAAACGTGTCAAAGGCAAGGAAACAGAGCTTTCCAACCTGGAAAACGAGAAAGAACAAGAACAACAGAAAATGAGACGGGAAAGCCAAGAGCTGGAATTGCTGAAAGCTAGAAAGCAACAAATAAAAGAATCCCAGCGCCGATTAGCAAAACTTAATGAATCCATTAAAAGTTGCGCAACCCTCGTGAATGTAACGACAGCACGAGCAAAAATGATGGCAGATGAAGCAAATGGGGAGTTACCAGATATTGAAGCAATGATGCCTCCCTTGAAGGCCGTCGCTGAAGATCTCTCTGATGCAGCACTCAGTGACTGCAAGCTTTTGTCTGGAGGGTTAAACATGAAACAAATTGGTTCTAAGATTCAAGCGATAACTTCAAAAGCATTAAAAAGCCCCACATCAGATGACCTGTACCTGTGGGCCTGATAAGAGTGACTAAGGAGGGTGCGAGAAACGTTTACAGTAATAGAAATTAACAGTCGTGCAACTGCTGAAATGTTTCCTCTCAACTCGTAGTTTATTTAACTTTACCTTGTGTTAAAATGCATTTTAGCCCATGTTTCTTAGGACGTAGCACATAGTTTAAAAAGAGAAATGTTTCCTTCCTTCTTGTTGTGGAATTTTATTTCATAAAACAAAGCAAGGTCTTAGCAAGTAAGGTGCTTCAAAAGCAGCGCGGAGTTTTACTAGTAACGGTGTGTTTAACCATTCAACATCTTTTTCCAGCTCAACCTGTCTTCAACTCTGATTTTAGAGACCTTATAAGCAAGTGCTAACAGAGAAAGACAACATACTTTTTTTTAATGAAAAAAAAATGCATTCTCGTTACTGGGTTAGGTTAACCAATTTCAATATTTCTCCTTTTGTGTCTTAAATTGATCGCTAGGAGTTGCAGAGGGATTTTAAGGTAGGGCAGTCGTCAACGATAACCTGTCAAGGTCAAATGGATTTTACGTTTTTCCGAAGCCTGAAAATGTTTCAGCTGAGTCAACTTCTTCCGAGATTTTTAATCAAATTTATACAAACCGTTTGTCTGTGTACCTGATGGCAACAAAACCAGTTTGAAATGATCACGCATTTTTTAATTGGGATTTTCGTTCAAAAGTAGCAGCACCTCGTAAATGGTGATCGATTCCTTTGAATTTGACATGTCTTATTCTGTAAAAAGTATTGCTCCGTTTTATTTTACAGAAAAGAAGTTCTCACTAAATTCAAAAGAATCGCAAAATTTAAATGTCAGCTTACTCGTTTGTAAGAAAATTAACCCTTTCCTTTCAAAAGGAGTGCGGCCTATAGTTTGAGCGTTAAAA